ATGCAAATGACTACCTTATTATCTAAAAACTGATATTTTTGCATTTGATTATAGCATTGTCTGGGAAAAATATTTGGGAATTGACATCCCATATTTGTGATAATTCCATATTTTTGAGTTTTTATAAGAGTTTTTCTATACATATGAGATTGGCAATTATGCTAGAATGTCTTTACGAACTGCTACCTTTCTAAATTTGAGCCTGAAATATTTTGACTGGTTATTTTTGAAATGTTATTGAAAGTGACTGTTATTAATGATTTCAGTGAAATTCACATTAATAATTCCAGTGATATGTTGAGTACATGATATTGTTGCTTTCGAATGTTTAAAGAGATTTAAAAAAACTTTAAGTATGCAAATGGACTCATTCGGTTCGCCGGTGAAGTATAAGTGGACCTATCCGGTACGCCGATAGGGATTAAGTGGACTCATTCGGTACGCCGGTGAGGTATAAGTAGATCTGCAGGGATTAAGTGGACCTATCTGGGACGCCGATAGGGATTAAGTGGATCCATCAGGATGCTGATGGGGTATATAGGTGACCTACTTGGGACGCCAGTAGGGTATTTTGTGAAATCGTTTGAATTATACACTGCCGTTAAAATGTTATATGCATTTCAATTATTCGGATTATACGTAATTATGCATTTTTGAAAGTGAAACTGTTAATGCATTTCTGTTAATAGATCCCCTTTTTAAAAATATTGATATCTTTCAACCATGGTTATTTTTAAGATTATGATGATCACTTACTGAGTAGCCAAACTCATCAAATTATGGTAAACATTTTATTCAGTATTACTACGGTTTCATTTTGAGTGCTCATCAAGATCAACTTTGAAAGATATTGTAATTGTGCTTAAACTTTCTTTTGTTACTTTGTAAGAATTCGTCACTGTAAATTTATCTTATCAAGAGATGTATTTATGTTTTGACCATCACATCTCAAGAATATCAGTATTGTAAATTCTTGGGGCGTGACAATATATATATATACACACACATGCACTTAAGCATGTATGCATGATTTTGTATAAAAGTAAATGGCAAGAACATCAAAATTGCTAGCCCATGTATTGTTGATGGCCCCAATTTTCATGGGTCAAGATATATATTGAAGAGATCAGCAAAAGTGGAAACTGACCATTCAAGATCATACATATTTATTTGACAATATTGAGAAACTGCATTGCTTCTCCAGCATGATCATCTAAATTAAAATGTAGCTAAACAAGTAGCCAAAACAAACAGTCCAACACTTGATCAGCAGATCGTATGCCTTACAGATAAAACTATGCATGCACATCTGCATATTGTAAATTCAAGAAAATAATACAAAAGAATCTTTTCTCACCATGGCATCAAAAGAAAAAAAGATATGTATTGCATACTTTACGAGTCACCCTGAAAAATGAAGCATTGCCCCGACTTTTGGTGCTCTTTGAAGTTTCTTTTATCATCTTTCCATGAGCAATATTCTTTGCTTGAATCTCCTGATCTCGAGCTTCCTTCGCAAGATGTTTCTAGAAAAAACATAAAAATGGAGCATGAAGCTATCACTGTTTTCTCATAAAATGCATGTCATGTCATTTTAAGAAGGCAGTTGCATATTGCTATCTGGAAAATTAATTGAATTAAGCCTTCCTAGACAGCACAAGTTAGTAGACATTTTCCAAATAATGTTTTGAACCAATAGATGGGGCATAAAATTGCTTTGCCTTCCTAGACAGCACAAGTTAGTAGACATTTTCCAAATAATGTTTTGAACCAATAGATGGGGCATAAAATTGCTTTCACTGCACCATTGCAAGTCATGGCTATATCTGAGACGAAATTGGAAACACAACCTTGTTTCTCATGAATCTAGAAAAAACAAGTAAAACAACCAAATAATTAATAATTAAGTATAGAATAGCTTCCCAATGTGAATAATAGCTCATTGCAAGAGATCCCACAATCAAGATAAAAAATGTTTCATGCTCAAACAAACACGAATGATATGTTAAAACATGTTTATGAGTGGCCTCTAATAAAATGGAAAAATAAAACCAGACGTTTGTATTCAACCACAACCCCAGAGTCAGTTCCATCAGATAAATGCAAAGGAAAACTATATAACCAAATCATGTATCCCATATTCTAACATAAATCATTTATCCTATATTCTAGCATAAATATTACAAAGCACAAAGCAAACCTTCAATAGGTCATGCATGCAAAACATTAGAGTGTATAGAACGAAATAAATTAAGTCAAGTCAAGATGAGAAAAGTCCAATTGGGTTCCTCAATCAGCAGTCGGTACTAAATTCAGAAAAATGATCAACTCATCCTATCAAGCATTAAGATACAGACAAGAGACAGAAATGTACCTCTCGGGCCTTAACAGTTTTGAAATCATCATACAGCTCTTCATCGACACATTTATGGTCAATAAGCCCAATCATGGAATTAAACTTGGTTTTACTGATCTCTTCATTGCAATATCAAGCCCAACAAGCTCATAATCTGAGAGTTCCTAGCCCTATGAATAGATTAGAGTATAAAATAAAACGAAACAATGTAATATTATGACAAAAAAAAATAAGCACGAAATATAATGAAATCCTTGTGCATCAGTGTTTCTTTTTATAAGTACCCTCATGCATTAGCTCTCAAATTGGCCACAAAAGGGAGAAAATATACCAGGATGTCAGATACATGAAGAAGCCTTTCTTGTTTGTGCAAGAAAATCAACAAAAAACAACAAATAAGCGATAAAACCAAATTGCATCCACCCATGTTTTTGTATAGAAAAGATGATCCCCGTTGGCAAAATTCATGTGGGTCACGGCCGTGGAGAGGTACTTATATCTTTAAATTTATAGCAATGCATATCATCCCCCACAAAACAATATCAGAGGTACCTATATCTTTAAATTTACAGCCAATGCATTTCATTCCCCCAAATATCAACAGACTAACCTTGATGCTCCAAAAACTGTTCATCCAGAAAGGAATAATACAAGTACGAACTATAAACTTTTTCAACTGATTCAAACATGACAAGGGAAACTTTACAGCAAAAACATAAAATATTATTTAGATAATAAATAATACAAAGCACCCAACATAAGCTATAAAACCCATTTCTGTGATAAAATCACCATAGGCGATTTTGGAGGGGAAAGGGGAATTCAAGAAAGGATAGTAATCAATTTTCTTGATGACACATTAATCAGAAAAATTTTAAATGGACTAAATTCTTCTGATTGTTTAGGAAAAATCCCAACAAAAGTGTTATGTCCAAAATAAAGATAGAAATTTTAGTGTACTCACATTGTAATTTCAATCCATCGAAGCTTAGAGTCTAAGGAAAATCCCATAAAAAATGTTATGTCCAAAATAACGATAGAAATTCTAGTGTACTCACATTGTAATTTCAATCCATGGAAGCTCAGATATGGACTCTGCTGAGTCAAGAGAATTTTCTACAAGTTTTGTAACTGTTGTATATAAAGATTTCCTTGGCTGCAATCCATACCATAAGAAATTTATAAGTCCTTAATTTGGATAACACTCCTATTTTAAATAGAAGGGTTGGTTGATTCATAATATGAATCTCCTATTGTGATAAACCTCAATTATATTTTTTCAATTTAAAATAAAAACTTGGAAAACTCTACTTCTCATGAAACATGGCTTTTACATATTGGCCGCTTTATCAAGATGAAAATGATATTTATCAAAAAAATATACACAATGATATTCAGAATCTGGAATGCAGAATAGAACTAAGTAGATAAAATTTAATTTCCAGTCCAAGTTCACCAATAAGAATAGCACAGTTGGAAGAATTCCAAAAAAATCCTCACTTGTCTTGTTTCCCAACCTTTGATATTCACGCATGGCTTGCATAAGGTAGAGGAGAAGTATCATCACAATTCATCATAAAGAATTACAATCAAAGTTAAAAGCTATTTATGGCATTACTGGGTAGCTCCAAATAAAATTGTTCAGTTCGGCCCTGCAATTTCCATCTAATGCTACTAATCAGTAATCCAAATTTGAGAAGGAAAAAAAGTAACAGCCAAAAGGTCACAAACTTAAAAAAATTATTGCAACTTGGTAAAGAGAAAAATCAGGCCAACGTGATCAAGGTAACAAGCAGCTGAGAAAAGCACATAGAAAGCTTATGGCATCTTTTTTCAAGTAAAAGAAAGCTTACATTATTAAATTCGGCAATGTTTTGGACAAGTGAGTCACTGGATATGGGGATGAAAAAGTCCTCGATTTGAAGGAGAGAAGAAGAGTGGGAACCTATCGAGATTTTAGAAGGAGGACGTGTCCCCAATGGAGGGTTCCCAGTAGAGAGAAGAAGAGTGGGAACCCCGTTTATAGGGTGGCGTGTCCCCAGTGGAATCGCCAGTTGGTCGGTGCGGTGACTGATTCTCTGGGTCACTCATGCGTTGAGCGTGGGGCTCTCGAACAACCGTCGAATGCATGCATGTGTTGCATCCAGTTAAAGAAGCACATCGAGGCCCTGATCCGAAACAGACAGATTCACCTGGAAAGCCTCAAGAAGGCTTTCCAGATGCCAAAAACCTGCCACATGGTCACAGTCCAGGAGGAGTCTACGAACGACTCTCCTGTTGGAAAGCTGCCTCCCGAGCGGTTTTCTGCCTGTGTTCCACATGATGACCCAGCACAAGATGATAGTGCCTTGTGCTCGTAAGAAACAACGGTCAAATATGGCCAATACCACCAGCGAGAGGGCCATGACTTGGCTAATTGTAAGGCGTTCCGCTCTATCCTCAGCTGGAGATTCTGCAACAAACAATAAAAGCATAGAATCGACTTAAAACCAGTGCATAAATGATCCAATTCAATCACACCATCATAATTTTCAGAAAAATAGAGGAATAATAAGCTAACTATATTTCAGTACTGACCTTTTAGGGTTTTGAGAGCTCGTTCCCTTCGATTTTTGGTGCTCTTCTGCAGCTCTGGACTACCATCAGACTCCATTAGAAGATCAATCAGAACTGAGAGAGAAAGTTGAGATGAAATGAAAGCCTAAAATCTAGAATGTAAAAAGAGTGTAGACGAAATACGGTGTATGACCTCCATGCACAAAAGATAAATGATCTCTTTCTAGACAATCCCATATTTATTTGATGAATCCTGATTACTTAACTTTAATTTCTTCAGTTTATAAGAAGTAAGCCTCCAAGAAATTCAAGGCATGCAAATTGCAACATGTGATGGTTGGAGCACAGTACGGCCGAAGGGACCATCACCGTTAAGTTTAAGTGTGATGATTGTAGAGTGGGTTCCACCAAATATAAGGAGTACCTCACAAATCCGCCGTCCATTGCAGTAGAGAAACGGTGATAACACAATAATAATACTATAATACTGACCCAAATGAATTATTCGTGGGCCCAAATTGACCTGGTTAATATGTAGCTTTCTTTATCCTCTCTCACTCTCTCCTGCTTCACTTTTCTCTGCACATAAAGAAAGCTTCCATCGCTTTCTTTTCTCATGCGAATTTCTCTCTGAAACAAGGAAATGGCGGCCACTTGCCTTTTTTTAAGCGGAAATCGAGCGCTTTGTACGGCCACTGGTTCAGTGTTCTCCAATTTCAGCTTAGAAGCCCGTAACTCGAACAAAAGAGTTTCATTTGTGAGCTTTAATAGAGGTTACGAATCTATTTGCATCAAAAACCCTAGAAATGCTCTGAAGATTAGGGCTCAAGCTGAAGAAGCGTCTGTTTCCACTGAAGAGAGGTCACCCGAGACGCTGAAAAGGCTGTACGTTGGCAACATTCCAAGAGATGTAAACAATGCCAAGCTCTCTAAGATTTTCAGTGAGCATGGTTCAGTGGAGAAGGCAGAGGTATCTCTCTCTACATTTGTCTCTCTATCGCTCTTTCTCTCCGCTCTCTCTCTCTGGATAGTTCAGAGATATGTTCCCCTCTATCCATTTCTCGCTCTCAGCGTACATTTTCCCTTTTATTAATGAACGTGTATTTTATTTGATCCGAGTGAGTTTCGCATATACTGCTTATCATTTTTTTCGATGAAGGTTAACTATCAGATATACTGTTCATTCATACTATGACGCGCTGAAAAGTTAAATTTCTCTCATTACCAATTTCTGCTACTAATTATTTTCGAGGCTTGAAGCCATTTTTTACTTTTATTTGTTCTTCAAGTTAAGGATTTCATTTACTTTCAATAACACTTGGAATCTTTTGGGGAAAATTTGGTGACGTTTTCTGGAATGCATCGAGAAATATATTGATGAAATTAAGTGATACAAATTAGGGTTGATTCTTCACAAAATTAGCACCTAGAAAGCAAAATCAGCAAATTAATTCGTAGAGAGATCTCCAAAGAACCAGCTTGTCTTAAAGATAATGAAGGAACAATCATAAAACCACTTCCCAGAGTTTATTCGTTCTCCTGGAAAAAAAAAAAAAAAACAATCTAACTCTCCTAAACTCTTCAATATTTAAAGGGAAAAGTTTATATAGAGCCCAAGCTCTAAACAATCAAATTTGAGCCTATCTCAAAAATTTCACGAGGTAGTTTTGATGTTCAAATAAAATTTCACTAGAAGAGGTAGTTATGATGTTCAAATATCTTCAAATTGATCATCTCGACATCAAAAAGCATGGACATGAGAAAAAAATGGATTTCAAGTTTTGGAAATAGTGTATTTTGTAAGGCATTTTTGGACAGTCAATTTTCAAGATTTTCAAGTTTTCATAGATCGGTTGATCGACACTATTTTTGAAGCTTTGAACTTTATAAATAAATATAAAATTATATTTTAAGGCTATGATGAAACCATATTTTTCGATACTTTTTGAACGTAGGCTTTAATTTGATTGTTTAGAGCCTAGGCTATATACAAACCGCACCCATATCTAAATAACTCGTAACCTTAAAAAGTTCCTACGAAATCGTTGCCATCCATCTTATTTAACCACAGCCACCCATTATAAATTTAAAATAAATTATTAAATAACAATTACTCCCTTTCTTTTCCTCTTGGGTCGTACCACCCTTCCTCGGCAGCTGATTTTGTTCTCTTTTTTTTTCTCTTGGGTTTTACAACCCTTGTTAATTTTTGCTCTTTAGATATCCTTCTGCAAATTAAAGTGCTGATTTATTTTTTTTATTTTTGTAAAAATAATTTGCATCATTAAGTATAGTAACTATTACAATAGTATTCCTTGCAAACAACTGCAATCAGCGGAACTGTATCGGTAATGTTAAATGATTGTTCCACTGCATTATTGGAAGCAATGATTTGGATATGACCTCGACCCACTCGGCCCATGGCTGAGGCGAGTAACTGAGCCGAATCCGCTCGAGTTGTGTGCAACCCTGGAAGTTGACAAAAAGTAAAAACAAAAAAAAGTAAAATTTTTAAAAGTTAAAAATAAGAAATAAAAGAGGAATAAAAATCACAAAAGATAAGATGAAAAAAATCTATAAAAGACCGATTATTGAAATTTTTGATTTAGGACTTGAATATTTAGAAAAAATTTGAAACGAAAAAAAAAAAAAAAGGTTTCCAAATCATCTTAAAAAAATATTGAAATCACCCAGAAACTTAATTGTAACTAATATGGCACTGTTTTCCTCTCTTTTTTTTTCTCATTTTTCCTAATTTTTTATGCAATTGTTTTTTTCTTCTAACTTTTACCTCATTTATAAGAGTGGGGCAGGTTGCTATGGAACTTGCCCCAACTCAGCCAAGTCCGAGTGGACTTGACTAATTCTCATAACACTGATTGGAAGTATGGTGTTATCAAATGATGTGGTGTAACCGTGTTTGATTTGGTTTTATTTGTTTTTTAATGTAGTGTTTAGCTGATTTATAGACTTTGAATTGGATCCATATATCTTGTGTCCATCAATTGAGATTTAGTTGAGAAAATTGAGAAATACAGTCACAAAAAGGGCCATCTAAGGAACTAATGACCTTAGTGATAACATGAAGAATTAGTAGCTGGATGTTTTTTAACCTTCATTGGAAAGGTCTACAGAGCTACTTGGCAGTATCCACCAGTAAATATGTTCTAGTATCGAGGCATCGGGGAGGACTCCAATATACAAATTTGTGTCCCACATTTACAAAAGCCAACACAAGTTCTCCAGCATCGTGAACTGCAAGAGAAAAGTGGTTTGAACTCTGATTCTTCTCCTCTTTGAATGGGTAACATGATGGCAAAATTTGGGGACGAGAATTCAAATGCCACACTTTCATGAAGAAACAAAAGTGGTACTTATTGATGTTGTTTAACGTTGTGGAATTCTATATCTAGCCAAAGATAATATGTTGACTACTAAATTTTATCGATGCTTTCTGTTATTTGGCACCATGAGAACTTGAGAAGTATGTTTCAAGGTTCATTCAATTTATTTACGCAATGGGCCCTATCTTAAGTCACAATGTTAAGTTTAAGAATTCCTTAGCTCCCATTATGTAAGAACTATGCAATATCTTAGGTCCAATGTTGACGGGTATCATCTTGTCCAACATTTTTTAGTATGATATAGCACTTGTTAGCCCTAGGGGTCTTCATTCAGATGGTGCCTTGTCCTTTTATTCAGTGATTGAGTGTAATAATAATTTATGTAATCTTCAAACTTTATAGCACTGGTCTTCTTTTATAATATTTTTATTATTAATTTGTTTGTCCTGATTTTCTATTTAAGTTTTTTGACGTGGTATTAAAGTAGTTTTTCTCTAGACTTGTATTTTGTTTTCTGTTTTAAATGCCAAAATAACTGGAATCACTCACCATTGTCAAATATATAACGTGGTAACTAGCTAAACATACCTCTGTATGATTTTGTTTTGTTATTTGTCAGTATAGATAGGACATCTGTTGATGATGGTTTGTAACAATAAGTTTTTTTTATAGATCCATGAATTATTGGTACATTTTGGCATGCTATAAATAAAGGATGTGTTAACTGATACTTGAGCATCATCCTGTCTTTAGAATGTTCTCGTGGGCTATTGTAGTGATTATCTCTATTTCTGTATTTTGTAATTACATTCATCATTACTGATTATGTTTTTTGTGGAGAGAGAGAGAGATGCGACACGATTCATGCATAGATGAGATTGGGGACATTGAATCAAATATGTTTTCCATTTGTTGTGTACAGGTAATGTATGATAAATACTCAGGAAGAAGTCGCCTGTTAGCTTTTGTGACAATGAGCACAATAGAGGATGCTAATGCTGCTATTGAGAAGCTGAATGGCGTGGTAAGGGCCTGTATTCCAGTTTGATTTATTGTTCAGATTCCTGACTAGAGCTTCCTCATAATTTAAAGTTCCTCATCTGCATCAAAAAAGAAAAAAAAATATTTCCTGGTTTCATCTCGGGGGATTATCATCGCAATGATTTTGAGATCAGTAATCTTAGGTCGCAGTTTTTGCACATTATTAATGCTCATCTATTTTGAAAACTAGACGCAACCGTGCAGGACTTTTTCAAAAGGAAAACTAAAAAATATATTAGACACATTGTTTGTGGTCCTGATGCGCTTGGGGGGGCCCAATGCGGCGATACGGTCTAGATGGGGGCGCATCACCCTGATGCGGTCAATAAATATAAAAGAATTATAAAAAATCTCAAAAAATAGGTTAATGCATGAAAAAAAATATGAATGTCATTTATGTGATAATAGGTATTTAATTAGGAAAATTGTTTCATGCGGGCATGAGCGCATTTCTACAATATGCGGTCCTGAGGTATAAAGCATCCATCTTAAAGATGGATGCAAATAGGTGGTCCATCTAAAAAAAAGTGTAACTAACAATGCAAATTTTTTCTTAATATGATTATTATTTCTAGTTTTCAATTTTTAGATTATATATTCTCTAAAAATTAAAATAAATTAAATTTAAAAAATATATTTATTGTCAAACCCACATTTCTACAATATGCGGGTTGGTCACATAAAAACTGTGTCCTTTAATTGATTCATTAACTCCAAAAGTATCACTTCGTCAGATATTTTGTATCCACTATCTCTTGATAGATCATAGAAGAAACTTCCTCAAATCTACACCCAAGCTAATCCTAATTAATAAGCAAAGATCCACCAAGACAAAATCGAAAGATTTTCTCACAAAAAAAATTTCGCCATTTTTTTTCTTTTCCTATTAAATGGAAAAAAGCATGAAAGTGACGGTTTAGAACCCAAAAACCCTTTCCCCCATTGAAGGGGCCAAAAATACCTAAAGATCCCTTTTTGGGGGGTCACATTGTTTGGGCGCATATGCGGTGCGATGCGCTATGAGGTGAGATGTGGCGCATATGCGGGTATGTCCCACCAAAGCGCATATGCACTCTTTTGCAATGTGCCTCCTAGCTCAAATCGCATGATGGAGCTACATTTTAAAACAATGATTAGACATGTTGCATTTATTTTATGTTAGAAACAGATTGGCCATCCACTTTTTTCCCTCATCAGGGATGGTGGAGATGACCCGGTATTTTACTTTTAACTCTATTATGGTCTATAAGCCGAACAATGGTTCATCTCAGTTGTTCGTAGATGATGTCAAAAATGGATGGCGCGTCTGTATTGCATATATTATACACACATGTATAGTATGTGGATCCATTTCCAAAGACAAATTTAATTTGTGCTGCAATTTTTTTTTTTTCTTTTGTGTGTGAGAGAGAGAGAGATCACTTGACTCATTTTTTATGCAACCACTGTCTTGTAAATTATACTTCCCAAGTAACATGATGTTTTTCTATTGGGTCTTTTAAACTAAACTGTGTTTTTCCTTCCATAAAAAGGAAATTGGGGGCGGAAGATACGGAGAAACCCCTACAAGTTGTTGATAAATCGAAACTCCAAGCCGAGGAGTCCAACTTCGTTGATAGGCCACACAAAGTCTATGTAGGAAACCTCGCCAAGACTGTAACTACTGATATGCTCAGCAAATTCTTTTCTGAAAAAGGAAAAGTTCTCAGTGCCAAGGTAAGAAGAGTTCCTGGTACTTCTAAATCTAGTGGGTTTGGATTTGTTTCCTTTTCATTGGAAGAAGACGTAGAGGCTGCCATATCATCATTCAACAATGCTGTGAGTTCTCCTAACCTTGTAGCTTCTTGAAGTGATATTTGATAACTGTTATTGTTGTTTTTCCTCGAAATTGAGTTCATGAACGGTGGTTTAGGGTCTTGGTTTTGGTTGAATATTGTTGTGTTAGGATTATACTCTTGTTTAATTTGATATTTTCTTTTTGGGTTGATAGCTTTTGGAAGGGCGGCGGATTCGAGTGACAAAGCCTAAGTCTTGAGCAAAGATCAGTTTGGACATGCTTTGGATCTTGAGATGAGGTGCTTTTTGTTTTGAAGTATGAAGGGGTAACCAACCTTCAAAAGAGCTCTCTCTCTCTCCACAGTTCTGTAGCATAGCTTTTAGAGCAAAGTGTTTTAGCTCTTGAGCAGAATTTTTCCAGTCACAACGCCACCTATATATAGTTTGTTTAGCCTGTGGCTTTGTTAGGTTAAGCTTTTGGTTTGTTTAGAAGGATTCTCTCTCTCACACACATTTCTTCTCTCTCTACACACGGCTATAGCAGAGTCTTCTAACTGGATCATCTCTTTTGGTTAGAGTTAGTCGTAAAAACCGGATCAGTTGGTTGACTTGGACTTCTGTAATAGTCTGGATTAATTCATCGGTAATCGAGTTCGGGGTCGCGGTGCTAGCACCACCTAGGCCCTAACTAAAGTCTCAGCGCGCACCTAACGGATTAAAAACCACTAACTACCTAAAAATGGGTTGTTATTATCAATTATCCAAAAATAAAAAATTGAATTACCCAAAACAAGCGAAATTATCGTAATTATACCTTAATTTTTTTAAAAAAAACCCCAAACTTTTGTTTATCTCGGTTGCACCTTTTTTTCTCATTTTCGGTTTTTTTTTTACCAAAATGTCCTTCACAGTAGTTGTATTACCGTAATAGTTAGTACATGTTACACAATAAAGTACTGTAATTCTTAGGGAATTTTATACAGTACTTTTAGTACCGTAATATTGAGGGCATTTTATACGGTACTTTAAGTACCGTAAACTTACTCTAACCCTTAGACGGCATTTAAAGTACCGTAAACCCTTTTTTCATTTTGTTTATCTCTTTCATCTCTAATTTTTTTGTTTATTTATTCTTTCTCTCTCTAATTCTTTTTAATATTTATCTTTTCTTTATCTCTCTAATTCCTTTTTTTCTTTTTTTTCTCTCTACAATCTCATCATCGTTTCTTTAGCCAGAGTAATCAAACACTGACTTCGGCTATGCCAAACAGAGGATATGATCTATCTAATGAAATGATGATGAGATTGTAAAGAGAGAAAGAAGAGATGAAAATAATTAGAGAGAGAAAGAAGAGATAAATATTAAAAGGAATTAGAGAGAGAAAGAAGAGATAAACATAAAAAGAATTAGAGATGAAAGAGATAAATATGAACATAATGAAAAAAAGATTTACGACATTTTAAGTGTCGTATAAGATGAGTTAGTTTTTACAGTACTTAAAATACTGTATAACGGGTTTTAGTTTTTACGGTACTTAGAGTACCGTAATTGGCTTCACGGTCATGGCCAGAGTTCACTGTATTTAAAGTACCGTAATATTACTTGAAATTACTACGGTATTTTAAATACCGTATAAAATGATATGTATTACAGTAGTAAGACTATCGTGAAGGTCATTTAGGTCTAAAAAAAGCCGAAAATGAGGAAAAATGATGTAGACGAGGTAAACAAAATTTTAGAGTTTTTTTTCAATTAAGCTTAAATTAATGTATATTTACGATAATTTCCCCCAAAACAATAAAGAGTCGGACAAATTAATAACATGAAAAAATAGAAAGATGGTGGAATCAGGATTCGATCTCCACCCACACAACTGGATCCAAATTGGGCGATTTCAATGTCTATCATCAAGTTTTAAAAACTTGTCGGAACAACAAAATTAATAAGGAAATTCAATAAACTAATCTCCTCAAGAGAGATATGAGACCTACACTTGTCCTCTTGGTTGAAAAAATGAATTAACTTTATGGCATCGTGAAAGTGCTAGCATTCCTTAAAAATGAACTGCAAATGCAGTCAGTTTTGACGATTAAAAATATTCAATGGAAACTCTGAAATAAATTTCTTTCAAATAAAGTTGTAAAAGTGTTGGTGTTCCTTTTGAACGAATGTATCTAAATATTCTGCCTAATATTATGAACTTTTCAATGTCAATAATTTCACGCACAAACTTAGACTTACTTGCTAACACCAAAGAGAAAAATTTGGGAATCTTCAATTCAATTTGAGAAAAAAGAAGTATACTATGAACCTTCAATATTTGGATTAGTGATAACACGTATTAGATTAGTAGTCGTTACATCCGTTTGGGTGAAAGAATATATGTATAATGCGCTCCCGCGAAAGTACGCTATACAAGCTCAAAAAATAATACCTAAATCATCATCACTTTCCGCTCTCGTGGCGCTCATTTAAAAACCCCTACTTTTTTTCTTTCTTCAAAACGTTTTTCTCTCTCTCCACCTCTGCTGCTTCATTTAAAAACTCTTTTCTCTCTCTCTCTCTCTCCGACTCTACTGTGCATCTCGGATTCTATACGTACATATTGGATTCAACGCCTGTGCATCTCGGATTGCAATAGTAGAAGAATAGCAATAGCGCAATTCGCTCCTGATGTAACTTTTACACTCCAAATGCATCCGACCTTGTACTTTGGACCTTTCCTGTAGTAACAATTGTGGCATAACTAGTGCCTTAAAAACCAGATTAGCTAGTTGACTTGGGTTCTATAGTGGTTTAGATTAATTTATCGATAATTGAGTTTGGTATCGTATTGCCAGCACCACTTGAGTTCTAGCTAAAGTTTCAACTTAGCTTTTATTCTCACCTAACGCATTAAAAGCCACTACCTACTTAAAAATGAGTAGGGGCTTGTTATCAATTACCAAAAAATAAAAAACTAAATTACCCAAAACAATAAAGAGTCCGACATATTAATGACATGAAAAAGAAGGAAAAATAGAAAGATGGGTGAATAAGGGATTCCATCTCCCACCCACATAACTCGATCCAAATTGGACGATCCCAATTTGTATCATTAGATTTAAAAAACTTGCCTGAACAACAAAATTAATAAGGAAATTCGATAAACTAATATCCTCAAGAGAGATATGAGACCTACGCTTGTACTCTTTTGGTTGAAAAAATGAATAACCCTATCGAATCGTGAAAGTGCTAACATTTCTTATAAATGAACATTTGCAAATGCAGTCAATTTTGACGATTAAAAATATTCAATGGAAACTCTAAAATAAATTTCTTTCAAATAAAGTTGTAAAAGTGTTGGCGTTTCTTTTGAATGAATATCTCCAAATATTCTGCCTAATATTATGAACTTTTCACTGTGAATAATTTCACTCACAAACTTAGGCCAACTTGCTAACACCAAAAAGAAAAATTTAGGAATTTTCAATTCAATTTGAGTAAAAAGAAGTATACTATGACCCTTCGATATTTGGATTAATGATAACACATATTGGATCAGCAGTCGTTATATCTATCTGGGTAAAGAAGTAACTGTATAATGCGCTTCCGCGGGCGCATGCCATACACGCTCAAAAAATAAGACGAAAATCATCACGGTCCCGCCCTTGAGGCGTCTCGGTGAAGGAATTCGTTTCCCGCCTTCTATTTTTTTTTGTCTTATGCAAAGGGCGTGTTTGATAACAGAAAGTTGCTTCAATCGTACCCTGCGCTGTCTCTGCAAATCCCTTTTCCCCAATTTGTGTTGTAGTCCCCATCTGAAGCTATCAACTCTGGTCCTCACTCTTCTAGCTCTCTTCTGAAATAGTCTGAAGCCCGCTATTTCAGTAATGCTTTTAATTTTTATCATCTGGGTTGTTGCAGAAGATTTTTTAGATCAATATTTTTTTTTGGATAAATTATCTGTAAATAATGGATTTTTGGGTTTTTGGTTTATTTTTTACTTGTTTTGGTTTCTTATCGGTTTTGGTTTCTCTTTCTTATGTCTCCTTGTTTCTCTGTCGTGGTCTGATTTTAATGCTCTCTCTGTGATGCTTTGATTTTTCATGTAGCATCGGTAGCTTTGTAAATCTTTGCTTTAAGCTTTTTTAATTTTTCATTTACTGTTTATTCATGCAAGATCTCTGATCAAATGCGCTACAAACCTAGAACAGTATCTGAACGTTGATATTATTGATTGAATGTGATTGACACTGTAGTAATCAATGAAACTTTAGAATTTAGATTAATGGATTGATTGTTTATGACTAGTTGCTGTCCCTTCTTAGGAATGCACATTATTCCTTACTCAAAGTAGCTATTCATTACTCAAGTAGCTATTCCTTCTTAAGGATGCAACTTGGACCATTATTGTGGTATCAAAATTGCTATTGTTAGAAGGCACTGCTTTCTCTTCCAGGAGGTTAGCAGTGAATTCAGAACTTGGGGGCAAGAACCAAGTTGCTTTGAACCGATGTTTGTTCACAGGATTGCCTTGTGAATACCAACAGGAACTGGAAATCTTGCCAACCAGGTAAATGTCTTGGCCTCACAAGCTTAATAGAGTTGGGGTTATGAATTTAACTCCATTTTAGGGTATTATTATGTTTCTTTTGTTGTGGTTTTTACTGTTTCATTGGATTGATTCGGGTTGTTATTTGGGTTAAGCAATGAATCTGGTTTAGCTATTTTGATTGGCTTGGAGTTATTTGGATGATTGTTTAGTGGAATTGGCTCCTTTTTGGGTGTTGCCTTTCTTTAGATTTTTGATTTGTAGATGAAATCTTAGTTATTCCTTTCATTATTTCCTTCTTTGATTCACTGGAGCCATTTGGTCTTGCTTTTCATGGCAGAATTGATGTGTAGTTCACATAAAACAAGAGTATGCAAAGTGATTGGTTAAATTCATCTCTAAAACAGCTTCCATTTAACCCTTTCAAGTCATTTACATCATTGGATATATAGAAGTTCTATTGGGTACTTTCTTTCTTCTTTATGTTATAATGTTGTTACTTTTCTTATTAAATATTGTTAATTATTCGTATGACGAAAGTTTCAACTGCTATTTCAAGGATAAATAATTAGGGAGCCAATTGACTGAGAGCCGAATTGGCCTCTATGACCTTTTTGTCTTCTCAATGGGAAAACATCCCCTGAACTTCATCTCCTAAAAAGCATCAGCAAAGTTCACAATCTTGTTATTGTTAATCAGTATAAAAACCGTTTTCAGTACATCTTAGGGCTTGATTGTTCTCTCATTGTATACAAGGTCCTCTTTACCCTTGTGTTTTTGCTATCAAGTTCTTCTTTTCTTGCGATGGTATGCGAATGTAAGATCATAGTAGCTTGTGTTGTAGATCATTGTGGAAGAAGACTTGCTTAATGAGGCGTGGTCTAACAATAACTTCCAAAGAGAAGCTAAAGCCCCAGGGTAATCTCAATATGGAAGTATGAATATTTGTTATCTGTTGATTGCATATTGCCATTGAGTAGCGGTTTTTTATTGAATTTCGCTAGACATACCTGCTGCTCCAGAAACTCCTTGTAATTTCCGTCTGAATGAGTTGCGATTTTCATTTTTTTTCATTTTATATAAATTAAACTTGTGATTTCCACCTTTAACTAGGAACTGATCATCTCTGGTTTGTAAGATGCATTATGATCTATCTCATGATGAGGGGCACTTAGTTACATAGACCTTGCATTCTTTATATGTTTCTACAGAAGGCCTTTGTTATGAAATTCCTAGATTTCAAAAGTTGAACTCTGTGCTGTTGGTTATATTTGTATCTGAACCTATTACCCTTGCAGTAGCTTTACTGAGTAGAAGAATATAATGCAAGATCGTTAGATCAAAATGCCCAAAAGGAATTGGTTACTATCCATTTGTATGAAGGGAAATTGGTTACATATATCGTTGGCATTTTGATAATTTTGACCATAGTATCTTTAGACTTGATCATGATTATTTATATGTTAATGGACCAATACTTATCCTAGATTACTTTCTTTGGGCATTTAAAATAGAAAATTATATTTGTGGAAGAGCATTGCAAGATTCTGGTGATGGAATAACAGTAGTGCTTGACTGTTTCCTGAGTCTGTAAACCTGAATTCTGTCAAACTAAGAATTCAATTTATTAGAAACAATTGTTAATTCAGTATATTAGTCCATCACTATTGGTCAACATTATTTGGTATTAGAGTTTTATGGGAGCGTTACAGGAAATGCTGGCATGGAGGTCCTGAACATTGAGATTGATATACCATAGTCAAGCTGTCATGAACGATCTTATCTGTTGAAAAATACACTTGATAGGTATGTCCAATTACTTTTTTCACGTAGAGGTATTTGCTCACTGATGTTTACCATGTACTTGTTGTATGATTATAGAGACAAATGTAAGTATTTGCAAAAATATGTATGTTTATGCACATGATCAAGTGATCGGAAGCTTCTGGAGATAATATGAGTAATGACTTTAGGCTCTTTATGGTCTCTACATACCGGTGATGGATGGCTGTGAAAGCCATAAAAGCCCATAATAGGGTTGTGTTCTGGGCACCATATTGATTGATCATGATGCATCATCTTGCTCTAAGGAAAATCACATAATATCAATTTATATTTTCATCAGTAGATTGTATGATATTAAGACTATTTTGTTAGGTCAGCAATGAAATTTGAACATTGGACATTTTGTTGCAGCCCTCAAAGCCCCCACCACCAAACAATGAGCCCAAATCCCTTGTAAATTGTATATATTCTTGTGTTACTTCATGAAAAACTATAGGTTTGGACATGCTCATTGTTCGATACTTTAAAATCATGACTTACTTCAGGGTATTCTGGTTGGCAATCCAGGTACTTAGAACTTACTTAACATTCCATGAGGTTTTCAAACGCAGAAATCAGGAATTTCTTTAACTTCCCAGGAGGTTATCAAACACAGAAATCAGGAACTTTTTACAGTAACTTCTATCTTCCCAGCAAGGAGGAACTTCCAATTTACAATTCATGAACTTGCTTCCAGATATCAAACAGGCCCAAAAACGTTTCTCTCTCTCTCCACCTCTGCTCTTCCTTTAAAAACTCCTCTCTCTCTCTCTCCAGCTCCACAACTTCCATTAAAAAACCCTTAGCCCCTTGTTAAACTTAAAACCATGGTTGGAAAATTCATCCTCCATACGCTAGCTCTCTCTTTAACTTTATACAGAAACATTATCTTTGCATCTCCCTTTTGAAGTTATTATCAAACCTTTTCTCTTCAGTTTCCCTTGTATTGAAACCCTAAAACGATGTTTTATTCTCATTACATTCTCACTCGAAAGGGCCCTCTTGGAACTGTATGGATGGCTGCGCATCTCCAGCACAAGCTTCGCAAGTCTCTAGTTGCAGAGACCAACATCCCTTCATCTGTTGGTATATACTCTTCTGATTCTTGCTTATCTCATGGTTTTTGATGAATTAACTAATTTGAATGATTTCATGATGAAGCATCTGATGTTGTGTATTTGCTTTTTGAGTTGAAATTGTTGCTTGATGAATATGGTATCTGAAATGTGTGCATCCATTAATTTTTGCATGACTAGATTGTCAGAAAAATGTGTGATGCTACTTGTTTTTAGTCATGCATCCTGGAGACTTGTTTGATACCAGAATTTCAGTTGAAATCTGGCCAGTCCATAAAAAAGAATGGGTTAAATTTTGGCAATTGGTTTAATAATTAGTTTGAATACAGGTAGGACAAACAAAAATACATAGACAAACAATCTGAAATTTGGGATATGTATAGGCCATGTATCAGAAGTATGGTGGAAATTTATGCTAAAAATTCCACATGCAATTTCTAACCCCTATAATGAAAAGAAAGAATGTTTAACAAATTTTGGTTGGTTTTTGGTCGGAATCCTGTGAGGGTTATGGGTATCAGAATCACTCTCGTATTACATGAAAAAATTGGGATAGGATACCATTTAGAGGTGTTCTATTGATGGTTTCTATCTTATTCTTTTTCACAGAATTAACATGCATTCCAGGTAAAATTCACTAATCCTTTGTCTAATAATTGGATGGCTTTACCCCTTTCTTTTTGACATTGGCTTGTATATGTTGGTGTTTTTATTTATTTTTGATGAGTTTGTTAATGTTGCCTTGTTGTGTTCAGCATCAGGCCTTAGTTTTTCCCATTTTATCACACTTTAAATATTCTTCCTTTTTCCCTACTTAATTCTATTTCGTTTATTCCTTTTTTTTTTTTTTTTTGTACTTTTTTCTCTCTTTTGCCTTTTTTTTTGTAATTATTTTTTTTGCTTTTTCAGATTCAATCATGTTCTCTGAAGTCCCCATTGCACTAAGGATATCAGGGCACCTCCTACTGGGTGTTGTTTGCATATATTCAAAGAAAGTTGACTATCTTTACCATGACTGCAATGAGGCCTTATCTAAATTACGAAGTGCCATTGCCACGATACATGTTGACCTTCCTGCAGATGCATCGTGTGCAGCATTCAACTCTGTCACTTTGCCTGACACATTTCAACTTGATGCTTTGGATATGGATTATCACACAGCTGAGTGAGATTTCCTTCTACCTAGAATTCATGAGAAGAAAATTGTTCACCACTTGAAATATCCACACCAACACGAATGTTGGGCTTTAAGTTTATAAATGTTATTGATGGAGTTCTTTCCAGACTTTGCATATTTATTCTTTCACAGAAGCTTGTAATTGTGTTTTTTCATATGTTATGTATTTATTCGGGAACATTAGTTTATTTATGTGTTGTCATTTGTCAGGGCACCAGATAATCATCTCAAACCTCAAGATCAGATTACTATATCAGGTTTTTTTTTTATTTTTTTTGGCTTGGACTATGCAGATTGGTTTGTCAATTCATGGTTTTCTCTGCAAGACTATGTTTATCATCATATAAATTTTTTTTTCTTGGCCCTATGCAGATCAGGTTCCTGGTGAAGGAAGTCCATACACAAAATTTTTTGTGAATGAGGTATTTCAAATTATTGAACTAGCAATCCATCTCTGTTTCTTTTATGACTTATTTCAAATCTAATCTGCTATATAATACTCCATGGCTATATCAAGCATACATTCTCATTGGTGGTTGGTTGCAAATTAATTTCATATGGTTCCATAGTTATCTTCAATCACCTATGATTGGGAATGTACAATCGATATAACTTGATACCAAGTCCTTTGAATGATGACGTACTGACCCATTGTAAAAAAGAATTTACCTAGAATAATGTGATGATGTCCTTATTGTTACTTGTGAACTATGTAATGATGCCTGAATTCGGATATGGACATGGCCACAACATCAGTTTATTGTGAAATCCATATGTTTTTTAAGTGTCCAACATGGATACAACAACCATTTTGACGCACACTGTGCACCATAGTTTGTGAAGATATCCACATTAAAGTATTCTTATAATGTCATGAATGTGTTTGGTACTTGCATGAAGCATGCACATCCTATTATTTTCATGGATCTAAATGCGCGAATTTTCAGGATTTTGGAGGTATGAGTTCCCAATTTGGGTTCCAATACTTCGGGATGAGGATAATTGAAGAAGTGTATGTCTACCCATTCCTGCGATCCTTTTATTCTTTTCAATTTGTTTTTTTTCTAAAGTCTAGCATATGGTTCTCTAAAGGGGCAGTGACCCTCTTGTTCTTGATAAAGGATGGTAGATATTACATATACCTGGCTGCATTTCGTGATGTACCTAACTATGATTAATCTCTAATTTGACTGATGGTGGATGGTCCATCAATGAATTATGTATCATCACTTAATGAATGTATGGTATAGTCACTCACAAAAGAAATAATATCATTTCACAGACTGAATCTCCAAGTCACATTTATCTGTAAAAATATTAATATGGTTTTTTTCATGACAGTGTTCTGCCTCCTTCAATAAATACTAGTGTGGGCATGGCTGGAATTGATCCTCAACAAAGTCTTGAAGTTACTAATAATAGAATTTTGGAAGATCAGTTTTTCCACGAAACCCCAGAACTTCAGCGTGATGTGGTCCAACCATTGCCCTCCAACCCTGTAATGAATGACCTTGCTGGATTTTCTGTACCACAAAATGAACCTGTTGATCATATCATAGATGAGTCATATGTGCCAGACATAGTTGAAGCTCCTATTCTTGAAGCAGGGCGATTTCATCCTGGTTCTGGTTTGGCTACATTTTCAGGTTGGCTACTATCCATTTTTTGCTTTGGAATTTCATGCAAATTCTATATTTTCAACATCAAAACCTTGTTTTGCTCAAAGGAATTTACATCTGGTTTTGAACAACTTCTGATGCCCATGTAACGAGTCATCAGTGTATCATCTTGTGAGTGAAGTTGGTTGTTTTTCTTTACTTTTTTTGTTTTTTGGGGGTGGGGGTGGGGGGAAGGGGGTGTGGCCTGTGGGGTCTAATACCTCTTTGCAGGTTTTCTGTTACTAATTTTTTTGTTTTTGTATTTTTTGGGTTTCTTTAAGTTTTATATCTTTAACTTCAAAGCCATATCTATTTGGTTTACATTGGGGTCTCTTTTGGAGGAACTTATGATTCCTGTGTGATAGTCATTAGTAGGTCTTCTATATATTAAAGTTACTTTTTATGATATAGGAGCAAAGATACGTACACCAGAGATTCTTCCAGGCCCTCCTTCAGGTTGGCTCACTATCCTTTTTGGGGGTAATTTATTATTGTGAGCAAGAAAACCATATTTTTCTTCTGAAATTTATATTTGATTATCTTAACAACTTGTGTAAGAGTCTTCATGCATCTTCTCTCCATTGAAGTTGCTTTTTATGATTCAGGGGCAATATGGTAATTATTTTTTCTTGAAATTAACTTTTTTAATTTTTTAAAATATATTATTGTTCTATTGTTGATGATTTTTTTTTCTTTTAATTTGTAAATTCAATATTGTGAACATCAAAATCATGTTTATCCTGTATAGAATTTGCATTTATTTTCTCTTTCACAAATTATGATGCTCATGTAAGAGTTGCTGCCATATTGTATATTGATTTAAGTTGCTTTTTACGATTCAGAGGGCACAATTAAGATGGCTTCAAGTCCTCCTGTTCAGAACATAAATCAGAGATCAAGGAAGAGGAAGCAGTTTGATGAAGTCATTGTATTGTCTAATGAGTAAGTTATGGATAGGAACCTGATCTCTGTTTTTTCTTTCTCTAATCAACTAAGCATTGTCCACTTTGTGAGACATATGCAGCATATTTTAGGTGTCTGTGTACTAATTCTACTTCATTATTTGCTTTTCTGTTTGCAATATAAATAACAAAGTTCTCATTTTCTATTTTACCCTATTGGATTTATGATATGACGCTCTCCTTGGATTTTGCAGGGACATGAAAATGCAACTGCAAGATGCAAGCAAACTTGTGCGTAAACGTAAGAAATGCCCAGTCTCAACTCTAGATGTTCGGGAGGCCTACAGGAGCTCTCACATTGATCAGATTTTCCTTGAGCCCTCAATACCTGGCATGCTTCTTTGGCACTTTATACATTATTTCTCTTTTATCATGTTCTCAATAATAAGAACTGCCCTAACCAATGGTTAGTTGAAGTTACTAATTAAACAAAAAGTTTGATTCTTAAATGCATATTAAAACCAATAAATCAATGGAGAGACCAATCGATTGATGCTATATGAAATGTTTATTTCAGACTTGTGCATGCCTCTCCAAGAAGCATTAAAAAAAATGTTGCTTGCTCCCAAGGTTGCAGGGCCTTCTGTGGAGGATCCACAAGGTCCCAAAAGAGTTCAATCTCCTGATGGCCCTTCATCTATTCCAAATGAAGAAATTGAGCAGGCTTTTGTGGAGGATCAACAAGAAATCACAAGAGCTCCATTGCCTGCTGGTCGATCAACTAGGGTTGTGCCAAATGAAGAAACTGGACAGGTTCCTATTGAGGACCCACAAGAAGGCATAAGAGCTCCATCTTGTGCTCGCACACCATCTACTCCCAGTGAAGAAATTGATAGCTTTCCCCAACTGCCATATCCTTCTCCAAGAATAGGCGACTCCACTTATGAAATTCCTCACACTGTGGGATCAACGTTACCTAGTGGAATGACTCTGGAAACTGAGATTATGGAGTGGGAACCTCCATCTGCTGACCTGCTTGAAGCATCAGCTGCTGATCAAGAGGAGCAGCTACGTGTTATTGAGACACCAGAGGTGAGGTTTGATCCATTGGAAATGGAAGTCTGCTGACCACTTTTCTGTCATGATTTGTTAAATAAAAGAAATATAACTACCATAATATGACTAGTGCTAATGGTCAGAAGATTTCATTATGAAACTTTTAACATACATATTCAGGCCATTTTAGTGGGTTTTATTTTTTAGAGCATCATACTCTTAAGGAGCGAAAACCCTTCTAAAACAATGAAACCACCTCTCTTCCGTAACAGAAGTGAAATTTCAATTTGACTGCTCCTCGTACATGAACCCTCAAACAAAAAGACTCCTTTCCACTTTATTACTTTAACTACTAACATTTCTAACGTTGGGCATAGTTTTCATAAATGGATTGTTGTTAAAAGGCAGGAGAGAAACTGCCATTTTTTAATACCCTTTAGAGTGTTTTTCCATACATGCCATCACACATTGTTGTGCGTGCCCTTAAAGTTCCTGGCTCTATGTGTGTTTGTGTGGGCTGGTGTGTATGTGTATGTGCATGTGCATGTGTGTGTGTGTTTGTTTTTCTGTCTTTGGTACTTGGGGCGTTGAATTGGAATAGAAAACTGAAAAGAAGTCTGCAAAATTGATAACAAAGAGCATGCCTATGTGAAGGGTGAGGCAACTGTTTTTTCCTGCTCACTGTGAGTTCTATTGCTCTTATGGAATAATGTTCTTGAGATCTGCTGGACCATAAATTATACTACTCTTTTGTAGGACCTTTTTGAAGGCAGATGCTGGTCAATCAGGTAAATGCAAATGCACTGCCTCTGAAAGTGATTTCAGATGAATGACTTATTCTGAAGGGGAAATTTATCATTGTCCAATGGACTTTGGCTCACCATAGTCCAGTAGCATCATGACCTCCTATGGAGTGTTTGGCAATGGAGACGGACTGTGTCCTACCACAAAATGAGTACATGATCGCAGGTGGTGAGTCCCACCTGACATGCATTTCACTGGATGGTTATGACCCCAATGCACTATGATTTTCCATACTCACTTGGACAAAAGTATATTGAGAAATCACATTTCATGTGATGAGCGCCATTTAGTTTAGCATTAAATCTCGGTGTGTATTCCAATAAGTTTGGGAGGGCATGGGGGCTATATTTTAAATTCGGATTTATTAATCTAACTTGATTTGTGGCTTTGTTCTCTTATAGAGGGACCTAGAGAAGATGGTGTGCATACCTGGTCTGTGAGGACCAGGTAAGTATGTCCTTTTGAACAAGTTTTGTTTTGGGATGTTTCCTATTTTTTATGTAAACCTGATAGCTGCTTGGTATTGGCACAGGGCAGTTGCACAGTATCTACAGAAAGCGTTTCAATCCGAGAGTTCAAAAAGACCTTTAAGAAATCTAAGCTTGAACAGAATTCTTGAAGGAAGAACAAGAAATGAGTGTGCCAAACTGTTCTTTGAAACTTTGGTAATCTTCATATGCTTTGTTTTGAGTTCTTCTCAAGTAAACTTGCAACCTATTCCATTTCATTGTACATGAATATCTCTAACAATTTCATTGTACGTGTGTATCTATATGGTTATTTGACCTTATACAGCCTTAAGTCTTATAAAATAGGAAGGTTAAAGGTATTGTTAGTTTACATCAAATTGCTCTTTCTACATGCATAAATGCAATTTCTTTTCTACTTCAGCTAGTGGTGTTCTTGGTAAGTTCGGGCCGGCCTTAGTGTGCAAGATTTTGGATCAAAGCACAGATTCCCAACCTTTCGAAAATTGCAGGTTTTGAAGAGCAATGCTTTTATTGAAGTGCAACAAGAACATCCTTATGGTGATATTGACCTTTCAATGGCTCCTAGACTGGCAAAGGGAAAGTTTTGAATCCTTTGCCTTCTTAATTATGCATAATGACCCTCCAATATCAGGTGAAATTGTGACTCGGCTTTTTTCAGCATTTCTCTTTCAGCAGTTCACCTCATAGATTTAATCATGTTGAAACTCGAAGTTGTTTATTTCCCTTCATTGTTATTCTAAAATATGAATAAATTATTTTCTTCATTGTTATTCTAGAATATTAATATTTACACATGGAATGCAGCTAAACTCTAGCAACTGGTGCCCAAACTTGAGGTGTGCTTTTGGTAGGTGGTAAATTGGCTCAACTAACAGCTTGACTGCCAAGCATTTCCATGCCAAGAGTTATTATGTTTAAAGAAAGGTTGCTAGGTTGTGCTAGATGGTGTAAATTACTCTCTTTTTCAAAATTGGCTATCTATCTATGATTTATCTATTTAATGTAAATTCTCTCTCTCTCTCTCTCATGAAATCTTGTAAGATGTTCCACTGCTAGGAAATAACATTCTATTTCTTTTGTACTTTTTGGTGCTGAGATAATTTTCATTTAAGAAAGCATGGAGCCAAGAGTTGCTACATTGGGTGTCACATTTGAGCTATTATGTTTCTCTACTCTGGTTCTTAACAGTATGTGAGAGAAAAAGAAAGAGAGGAAATATCCTTTCCCACATGAAGCCGGTCAGCCGGGGCTATTCATTTGATTGTAACACTTGTTATGGTCAATCTATTAATGTTAAAATGCCGTTTCTTGGATATAACTTCTTGTCTCAGTGGCCCTTTTTAGGTGTCTGCACAACTGAATGGATATAGAGTGGAAGCACGTTTGGTGGCTTCTTAGATACATATGCTTGTTCAGTTTTGTTGAGGCAACTACCCAATCGCGGTGAACAAACTCGATGTAGAGAGAGAGAACGTAAACCTAAACCCTAAACCCCATACATTTAATTGGTTAATCGGAAGAATTATAAAATTTGCCAGGTAATTAATTTAACCATAGTTTTATTTACATTGTTAAATTAATTACATGGTAAGCGTTTATAATTCTTCCGATTAACCAATTCTATGTAAAGGGTTTAGGGTTTAGGATTTAACAATAGTTTTATTATTTTTAACATGAAATAGAATGGGGTTCAGGACAAGGTTGCAGCACCACTTGTGATTCACCTATTGGTTTTGGTTTCCAGTCCTACCTACGCTAATCCCTTTTGATAACTACTAAATTTCAAAAATTGCTAATCTTCTTTCCATTCCTAGCCCTTTTGAAAACTATTAATGGTTTCAAAAATTGCTAACGCACAACCAACAATTTTTTAAAAAAACGAAAAAGTCGTAAACAGGTCAAAACACTTTTATTAGGAAACAAGGTTGAACAACAAAAAAAGAAAAAAGAAAAAAGGAAAGCCGATCAAGAACTCTTCTGAATTACATTGGTACTCCTTAAATTGTGAGAAACAATGCACATCCGACATTTCCTAACTCGATTCAAAATAATTTGGAAAACAAATTATTTGGGTTCGATATAATAATATCCAATGGCACCATCTTTAGACTTATTTGGTAGATCATCTCCTCTCTTGGTGCAATATTATTTTGGATAAGCAAGAGGCATTTTAAACTATGAGCACTAGCATTATTATGGAGAGCCATAAGGGTGATCATTGTTGGGTTATGAGTGCTTGTAAAATGAAATGATATAGTGGAATATGAGTTTAGTAGGAGTGTGGTCTCTCGTAGACCATACTAATCAAACGATGGTTTGCTGATACCGATCTGTGTTTAACAATCTAGACCAGTCGGTTGGGAAAAATCTATGTTACTTGGGCATGAAGAACAAATCGATGAGGGTTTATGGGTTAGCCTTTGATGAGGTCGGAGAACATGCTCGGATGAGTGAGTCGAGGTAGAGACAGGGGTCAAAACCTCATCCATGTACCATCACACGGTATGCATATCGATAGATCGTTCGGAAAAGCCAGAAATCCACATTTTAGGGTGAAGCGTATGTATATGCGGGAGATACCCCTATGCACCATAGGAGCTATGATTACATCAAGTCTAGGCGACCTTGACTCGTCTCTAGGGAAGGATCTGAAATCCACATACTAGGATTGCGATCCCTTGACTCACCGACTGGACTTTGGTGACCTTCTAATGAGCCCTTGTTTGGACTGTGGTCATGGGAAACACTGGGTCAGTCTGATAAAGCAAATGTGGTATGTAGTCCACAGTTGAAGGTGAAGTGCACTATGATTGTTGATTCCTAAACCATATGGATCTTTTTCCCATCAAATTAATTTAATTGTTTTTGTTTATGATGAAAATTATTTTAAGATTATTAGTTGAATTTTTATGAACCCCTAAATATTTTATTTATACTTTTTGAATTTATAAAATTAAATATATTGATTTTACAATTGTTTAAATATTCAAATAATATACTAAAGTTATTTTATTAATTTTAAATATATAAAAATATCATGGGGGTCTATTGTATATATAGGCATGCCATATTTTTAGAAGGTGGGACCCATGAGTGCCTCCGTTAGGTGGCACTCTCCACCCTTATTCTCTTTTCTATTTTTTTGGTGATATGACATATACCCATATGGTTGGAAGATATTTACTACATAGTGATTTGATTTATTTTTGAAAGATTTTGTGAAAAGATTGAGTAGACTTGTGCTATTTTATGGTATGCACAATATTTTGATTAGATTTAATTTATTTAATTTCTATTGATGAGAAAATGATTTAGGAAAGGAACATATTGGTTCATGCACCTTCCATAATGTTGATGGCTCATCTATGGAATGGATGACTCAGATTTCTCACCCTATAAGTCACCCTTGATCGACGATCTATATTCAATCTCACAAGAAAAGGCAAGCCAAAGAAAACCCTAAGAAACCCTAATCTTATTCAAAGTCTATAAAAATGGATTGTCTCTACCCAAAATCTTTACACCTTATCTTTCTATTTGTCTCTCTTAAGAAAGTTTCTCTCTCATATTTTATCTCTCTCTCCCACATTATGAAAGAACCTAAGAGTTTAGGTTACGAAGTTCTTCTCTCCTATCTCTCAAATATGGATTTATGGTTAAGGGTTTTAGGGTTTAGCAAAAAGAGAATCTATCTCTCTCAAACTAGGTTGCTAAGAGAATTCATTTAGGGTTTGCGTTTGTGATCAAAGGGGTTTATGTTCTATTGGTATGGCTTTGTCGAAATTTACTTTTTCAGTTCGAGATTGAAGCTAGACTGTTGATCCTGCACCATCGGATGTTGGTGACTCGGTGTGGGGTGTAATAAGTTCGGTTGAGGTAATCTACAGCACTTTTCTTTTTGTTTCTTGCAATCTTATCTTTTATTCTCAAGCATAGTACATAGTTGTTTTAATAGCATCAAGTTGTTAAAATCTTGGTTTTATTGTTATGTTGATTTTATTTTGAAACTTATCTTATTATAATAAAGACCACATGTAAGTGATCTTTGCCAAAAGAAAGACGTGAGAAAAAAAAAAAAAAAATAGTATTCCCTGGTAAAAGATCATATAGGTCTTTCTTTTATTGGTATCAGAGCTATTGATACTTGATGTCATTAGTTATCTTTTTTCTTTATTGAGTTTAGATCAAGCTTGGGAAGAGATATAAGAAAGCTAATGACCTTTGTGGTCAAGAAATACACCCACGGTTAAGAATTATTGAAATATTCCAACACTGAAAAGGCATTCTGCATAAGGAGTATTCTGGGCTATTTTGGAGTAAAGATATGAAGAATATGAGGTATTTTTTCATTATATACTTCAATGATATTTTGTGTATTTAAAAGTAGGATTTACTTGCAAAATTTCATTGGGAAATCCTATAGGAATTGAGAGTTATGGACTCAATAATGAAGGGTGTCAATTCTGACCATACAAAATTTAGGAACTGTCCATTGAGTTCCGTGATTTTCTCACCAATCATATGATTTTATTTCTAGCTGAAATTGAGTGTACTTTCAAACAAAAGGAGGTTTTATCAAGAAAATCCTTGTGGTTTGAAAGATACGATTAATTTATTGAAGGATGCGCAAGTGCTGTTTTTTGCAAGGAAAGTTATTTTCATGACTTGGAAGTTAATATTTTATTTCTATAATTAACATAATGTTTTATGGTCCACACTAAATTTTTAGACTTTCATTTTGAGTCTATTTTCTAATAAAATTTATTTGAAAGAGAAATATCTACGGAAAGAGAGGAATACAAATTTTGGATTGAAAAGAGGTTATCCTGAATTTTCTGTAATTTGGTATATTATTCATTGAAGACATGAATAGCTCTGTCTATCAAGCTTACTTAACAGAGTGATATAAGGCTTGTGAAAATATATGTGTTACTATTATGTCTCTAATTTCAAACAAAAGTGATTTGAAAGGGAAACTCCATGATGGTAGAGAAAAAAGACTATTTTACTAGATAGTGTTCATCCTGGAATTCTATAGTATGATTTATTTTATGACGTGAATATCACTTATTTCTCTGAAGAAAAGTATTATTTGGGATTCAAACTATGATATTATGATTTGTTTTTGAGTCTAGTTTTCAACACAAAAGATTTCAAGAAGAAATTCTTTGAGGATTGAGATAAACAAATTTTTTATTAAGAGGTGCTCAACATGATTTTCAACTGAAAAAATTGCATTGTGACTTAAATGTCACTAAAATGAATATTCACTAAATGGTATGATTTAGGGATGAAACTGAACACTATTTTATATTTTTTTTTAGTCTATTTCAATACTCAAAAGGATTCGAAGATTAACTCTTTATGAGTTGAGAGATATCATATTTTTATCATGGGATGCTCAAGTTCTATTCTACAGTAAATTAAAAAGGTGTGGCCTGTTAAGACACATATTTGGATTCCTAATTATGAAGATCTTTTTTAAAGGCTCATTTAAAAAGGTTTTATATAGTGTGCTATGAGTATGGTTTATTATAATAAAATTTCAAAGAGAGGTAATACAAAGTTGACAAGATATGACACTCAATGTAAAGAGTATTCGATCTGGGAATAGCAGAAAGAAGAAGAAACACAATACCTATAAAAACATCTTGGTTTTTTCAAAATGAAGGGATATATATAGAGACTTGGTGGTAGCATAGAAACGCTAAATATCAGTGAGAGAATCAAAACTGTGATATTTGAAATAATAGGATGAAGAAGATATTTTCTTCACGATGTAAAACAGGAGAATCAAAGTGTCAAAGAGATGAACATTTCGTGACATGTGAAACCAATGACCAATATATACTCCATCAGTTGCGTGCACTTCCATTATCACAAAAGCTTACCAAACAAGTAACAACGATGAATCAAGAAAGTTTAGGTACCACACTACATGATTTTGAGGTATGAAATTTATCCTATATTACATGGTAAGGTCATATAGGGAAAGGTCATATATGAAAAGAGGATTCAATACATTTGTTTAATGTGCTTTGATTATATTTTGGTTAATTATTTTATGAATATGTATGGAGTGTATGGAAATTAAGTGATAAGTGCTAACAAATTTGAAAGTGCGAGTTTTGAATAC